TTACAATCGAGATGGAAAAAAAAATGTGCAAAATGATGTAAAAATAAACTTTTGTAATAATTAAAAAAATAAAAAATAATTAAAAAAAAAAGACTCTCCAGTGGGCAGAGGGGTAGGAACTATCATTTATTGAGCACATTTTATGTCGGAGGCACTGTGTTACATACATATGTTGTAACTGCTATTGTTACTCTATTACTATAGGAATGGTGGATAGGGTAAGGATATAGGGCATGGTGTATAGGGTTTGGTGTTTTGTTGGAGAGAATTTGTGATCCACACAAAGGGTTCCCTTTATTTAGATACAAATAAAATTTTGGTAGATTACTCAAGTCATAAAAACTCCTTTATATAAATGAAAATTTACAAGTATTGTTTAACAGAGCATACTCAGGTAAAATTGCATTAACTTAAATTTAAAATATAAGCAAAGTGGCTTCATCTCTTTTACAGTAGAAAGAAAAAGTAATGCAAGTGACCTATCAGAGCATTCTAGCATGAAGTAACTAGGATTGACAAAACTTGTATTTCTTAAAAAAAAACTTTCTATTAAAGATTCTGGCACACAAACTACTCTACAATCTTTTTCTCTCTTTATAAATGAAACAACCACCTTTTTTGTTCTAATTTGAGAGGACAAATGCTCTCCAGGGATCTGATTGAATATGAAGATAAACTCACCTGTTCTTGCGATTTTAATTTTTCTTTCATAAGATCAGCATTTCTTTTTAGTTGTTCATTTTCACCTACATAAAAATCATCAAAGCAAAAATCCTAATATGTAGAGTGATTCAAGTTTCACTTTATGTATGCTTTCAACATCTACTACACATCAGATACTGTGCATGACACTAGAAACACTAGAACAAAAAGAAATACTGCTATTCACAGAATTTAGTCTAGAGGTGAGATATGTAAGTAGGTGTAATAGACTGTAACTGCTCTGTAATGGCAGAGTCTCTGAGATACTAGGGAGAAGTCAGCGTGAAGGGGTTTACCACTTGAGCTGAGACTTAAGTAATGAAATTTACCCCACGTTGGAGAGGAAGGCATTTTAAGTACAGATAACCACCCAGGAGACATTGGGCTTGGTGAATATATCATGTTCATGAAAACCACAATTCAAGTGTATTGTTGGAGAGTAAACTCTAAGTAGCATGTGCTACATCAGGTGGGGCCCTATCTAAAAAGGTGGACACATTCTACACAAATGACTGAATTTAATAGGTTAGGGGGCCAAGAAGGAATTTGGAATGGTGAAAGGAAATGATTAGCATTAAATGTTTAAAAGTTCTGACGGTGTAGAAGATGAATGGGAGGGTTTTGACCATAAGGATGGAGATCAATAAAGATCAAATAAGAAATTCAATTAGGCCAGTGGCAGTAGGAGGAAAAGGAAAATAAAGATAACTAGATGATAGGATTACTAGTTTTGGGACTAGATAACAGAGGCAAAAGAAAAGGGAGACTTTTGCCATCCAGGTTTCTGGTTTAGTTAACTTAAAATGTTCATCAGTTTGGGAAAAGTTAAAAGGGGAATGCTATCTCCTTGTGTTTTTGGTTTGTATTTCCCTAATAATAAGTGATGATGGTCACTAGACACAAGAGTCACAGAGTGGAGCTCTTTGTGATACTGATATTTATAAACATTTAAAATAGTTTTTGACTGTTTTGTGACAAAGTCCTTTCTTTTGTTTATTGTTGTTGCCTGTGTTCTCAATGTACTGTTGTTATGAAAGTTTATAAGGTCCTTTTTTTCTTTATATAGCATCTGTGGTTTCCAGATTGGTTAAGAAGATATTTAGATTGTACATGTTATATTTTGGATTTTCTTTTAAGTCTTTATTGTTCTTTTTTATTCATCTGGAATTTATTTTTGATGTGGTGGGAATGAGTTCAATTTCTTTTCTTCCAGATGGAAAGCTGTACAAATATACCAGTACCATATGTAAGAATGCCATTTCTCCCCAATAAATTGAAATATTCTTTGTATCATACACTAAGAAATATTATGGTTTGTTTCTAGAACCTAGCTCTATTCATTCCATGAATATGTATTTCAACTTCTATGCCAATATCATATTGATTTTATTACAATAGCCTCAGAGAATGTTATTATCTGGAAAAGGAAGTCTTCTTTCCCGTATTCTTTTTTTTCATAGTTTTCTTATTCTTGTTTATGCTCAAATACATAATGTTTAAAGGTTTTATTTTCTAACTTACCTTTCAAATTATGTTGATATTCAATGGTCTGTTGTAGTCCTTTGATCATATTATGAAGAGAAGCACATTCTAAAATACAAAGAATAAATTTTCTTGAAAATTATTTGCTTACATTTTGAAATTATTCTTTCAAAGTTGAAATATTTACAACATTTAATTGGTAACTGAGATCTAAATAAGGCAATCAGGTATCTCAAGGTGAATTATACAATAAATACTTTTTAATTAATCTTCAATTCAAATGCATTCCAGGATTTAGTAATGAGTTTCTAAGGCATAAAAATCCAGTAATAGCAGGGTTTCTCCTACCTCTCTGTGCCTAGCAATCTCTGTCCTAAACGTAAGGCACATGGACACATGTCTGTGCAACTGTGAGGAGTGTATCCAAGGGAGTCTTTCATTACATTTGTACCACTAACTTCTCATCCACTAAGCCAGAGTGGATGAGTCTTTCAGGATAATATAATGCCTTTCTTCTTCATTGTCTTCCAGCCTTTCCTCTTAGTACTCATATTTGGGCTCTAGGGCAAGGAATAGCAATACAAAGCGTAAACACGCAGTGAGTTGAGTTTCAGGGTATCAGCAACTTAGGAAGCGGTGACTTCCGCCATAAGCAGACATGGAGCCTTCATTGCCTACCTCTAGGTTTTCAGTCTACTCTTATTTATCACCAGCAGCAACTTTGATAGGTAGCAGCTGTATGGAAACTTCTGTAACTTTAGGCATTCTTCTTGGTTGTAAGTCCTACTGTAGTAGTATTTTCTGTTTTGCTTGTCATTTTTTGCTAGGATCTAGAGCAATTGTGGTCCACTGTAGGCATTCCATAAGTATTTGCTGAGTAACTGAGAAAGAGACCAGCAATATCATATAGAGAATTGAAGTAAGAAAGGACCAGGTAGAGAAGCTGTGGGCTGAAAAAACTAATGCTTATTATATTGGTATTCTGAAAGCTATGCAAATACTAAATCTCTTAACCATTTTACCCTTAGGAAGTAGATTCTAGAACTTACTTCATTTTAACTATGAGCAAACTGGTATACATACACTTAGTGAATATTCAAGGCTATATTTATAACTAGTAAGTTGGAAAGCTAGAACTTTAACCTTAGTAGTCCAGAATTAAAGTCTATGATTTTAAATATTAACACAAAGGAGAACTTCAGAGCAATTTGATTATTTTGGAGGTTCTGGAATGAGGGCAAGAACAGAACCAGAGATTCTTTGTGATAGCTACAATTATTGCATTTTTACTATGAGATTAGGAAACACAAGGTATGCTAATTTAAGTTTATAATTTTACTAGCTAAATATACAGCAATTATTCTTTCTGAAAGAATAATAATATTTAAAAAAAGAAAAATAACTTTAAAGCTTAAGGGTACTTAAATTTTATGTCCTTGACTTAACAGCTAATAAATATCGAGCCTTACTCCCTATTTTTCAGTTTGAGGTCCATGTCCTATATTCTATCAGTTGTGCAATAGTATGACATAATGACTAGCTTCTACTTTAATTGACATTTCTCTTAATGGTTAAATATTAAATACCACAATTTATAGCTGGTAATAAAAAATTCTCTAGGTATAATAACAGTACCATTCATTGAGTGATTATTCTGTCAGGCATTAAACTAAATGTGTTATAAAACATTACCTCAACTTGGTGTTCAAAGTGATACTGAGAAGTTAGATTCACTAAACTGATTTACAAATGAAGAGATCTGGCTACTTGTTCAAATTCCACTTAGTAATTGGAAGATTTATATTTGGAAATAGTTTTTCTCATTTTAAATCCTTTGTTCTTACTCTGGCACCCAGAACTTACTTCCTCAGAAACTGTAGCAAAAGTTGATGAAACCATACAACTTGGAGTCAGAGGAACTGGATTTGCTTTCTAGCTATGCTACCCTGGGTGAGCTACCTATCTGAACTTTAAATTCTTCATTTGCAAAATAAAAACATGGGTAATACCCATCTTATCACATATAATAACTATTCCAACAACAAAATGAGAAAACAAACTTTCTAAATCCTCAAAATATTTAACATAGGTATAGTTATTGTTTATCTCCCATGGTGAAAAATTTGTATATATTACTTTTTCCCTTACCACACTGCATTTTAGTTATTTATATTTTCTCCCACTAGATAGTGAGTTCTTCCAGTTAAAGATCACAACTGACTTATTTGGATCTAGTAAGTCTTGCATCTAATTTGGTGACTACTTAAAACATGTCCAAGTTTTTGCTTGCTTTTTTATTTATTGAAGAAATGAAAGACCAGCATTGTGAGGAAAGGATGCAAAGCTTCACCTTTTAGATGTAGGAGCTATGCTGAGTTTTCTTGTACTTTCTTCAACTGCACTAGTAGAGAGTATTTTGCAGAAATTGAAAATTTATGAAGGTGTTTCTACAACTGTTTTTTACTCCCCAAGCCATCTTTACCATTCTATCTCCCACTGAGATAGTTTCCACAAGCTACATCATTCCTCTTACTATTTCCCAGTAGTAGGGTGATAGTTAAATTACATTTGCTGGACATCAGCTAGTAACCTACTTCATGTATGTTACTGTGTTAGCTGCCACTGTTAAAAAATTCAGTAGGAATAGACTCTGATATCACTTGTGTCCGTGACCTTGAGTCATGAATCAAGCAATTGATAAACATGGTAGCTGAAGATGTAAATTAAAATTAAAAATATGTATTTCCTGCCCTCCCTGGTGGCGCAGCGGGTTAAAGCACTGCACTGAGAAGCTAAAGCCACTTCCGCATGAGTTCGATTCCCGCCTGCCCTTGAGATGACTACAAGGTGTGGCAGACCTCTCCTGACCCACCCGCTGCTCCCCTCAGCAGTGTACTTCGTTGATCTGCCTGTTCTGCTCCCCACTCTGTCTCTGGTGAAGCCTCTCACCGCCCCTGAGCCTCTGGCCTATACCCCAGTTCTGTATAAATAAATAAATAAATCTTAAAAAAAAAAAGTATTTCCAAATTTGAACACAAGGTGGCCCCCTCAACACATTTTTTTTTTTAAAGATTTATTTATTTGTGCATACAGAACTGGGGTACAGGCCAGAGGCTCAGGGGCGGCGAGAGGCTTCACCAGAGACAGAGTGGGGAGCAGAACAGGCAGATCTACGAAGTACACTGCTGAGGGGAGCAGCGGGCGGGCCAGGAGAGGTCTGCCACACCATGTGGTCACCTCCGGGGCAGGCGGGAATCGAACTCATGCGGAAGCGGCTTTAGATTCTCAGTGCTGTGCTTTAACCCGCTGCGCCACCAGGGAGGGTCTCAACACATTTGTTTTTAACAAAGGAAGCTGACTCCTAAGGAATTCTTAAGATAGAATATCATTAACTATTTTAGAATAATGATTTAATGTTGGCATGTCTATACCAACATTATCATTTAGGTTTTTAATGTAATTTGGAGAACATTATCCTATCCAATTCTTCCTAAAACTAGAGCTCAGAATGTTAAGCTACTATGTAGTTTAGTAAATCAATATTTATTTTGAGCTCAGATTTAGACTCTACCTTTAACTAGCAATTTGAATATTACATTTAATTCATGAAATAGGTGTAAATATTAAATAAAATTGTGTATGAAAAAAATATATTTTTATAGTGCCTGGCCTTCATATAACTGCCATCATCAACTGGCAAAGACATTCTTAATCTGGTATCAAAACTAGGAAATAAAATATCAGGATCTCATTTTCATTGTTGAACAAATCCAATCATATATATGGTTTGTTCTCAAGTCACACACTTGATCCTGTAAGCTGCCACTCTCACTTGAACTTCTACTTCTACTCTGAGTTATCTAGCAAAAAATCTCTTAGATTTAGAATAAGTAGAACTGAATTTTTCTTAAATGTGTATATATATGTTTTTTTCTGTGGGTTCCTATGAGCTGGCCACTTATGGACAACTGTGACCTACTTGCTATCCTCAAATCATAGCAGGGCATTCCTTGAGTACCTATGTATCACCAGGCAGGCCCAGGGATGCTTAGGCCACTGTTGACCTGATTACGTGACTACCTCCATGGCGGTCTTGGGATAACTCTGCCTGAGATAACATCATACACATGGTCACAATGTCCCTTTCCCTTGTAAAACTTTGTCCTCATTCCTGTTCTACCTGCTGGATCTTATTCCTATTCCTCACCACTGTTACATGATCAGCTTTTGCTATCCTGTATGATTTCATTAAATGGCACAAGAACTTCCGTTCAAGCAGCAGAGTCTTGCCTTGCAAACCTGCTCAAGACTGTTGTGTCCCTCATGGCATTCCCACCACAAAATGGCAAAAGTTCCTGTCACATTTGTCAAATTGTAAATATACATGAAACACAAATATAGAAAAGACTAAATGGCTCTCTAATCTCTGTTCTAAATCTAACTAGTTTCCTTCTTCCCAAAGCAATTCACGGTTACCAGAATATTGTGTTTCTTTCCAGAGATATATAAGTATATATGGGAGAAGGCATTTGAGTATTTATACAAACCACAGCATATTGTATGTTGCTTTCACTTACTGGCAGCCTGCAAATTATTCAATATCCTATCAAGTGACTTCATTCTATTTTCATCAATTACATATTATTTTATTAAATAAATATACCAAAATTAATTTAATCAGAGCTCAACTAATGGATAATGTCACACTTGGGAAGGTCTTCTTCAGTCAAAAAACAATCCTATATCCTCCTCTAGCATTTTTGGGGTTTCACCTTTTGACTTCTCACTAAGATTGCTTCCCATAAAAGATTTATGTCCAGCCCTCCCTCGTGGCGCAGTGGGTTAAAGCACAGCACTAGGAAGCTTAAGCCACTTCCGCATGAGTTCGATCCCTGCCTGCCCCAGAGGTGACCACATGGCGCGGCATACCTCTCCTGACCCACCTGCTGCTCCCCTCAGCAGTGTACTTTGTGGATCTGCCTGTTCTGCTCCCTGCTCTGTCTCTGGTGAAGATTCTCACTACCCTTGAGCCTCTGGCCTGTACCCCAGTTCTGTATTAATAAATACATAA